GGGGTTTTTTTTTTGGCATATTTTTTACAACTTTTTGGAATTTTTTTGGGATGGGAAAAGCGAAAATATGTAAAAAAATTTTTTTTGGGTCCACCACACAATTTTTTTTAACTTTTAACTACTTTTTAAAAATTTTTTCAGGGGAAATTAACATAAGCTGGGGGGTGTGCTGCTTTAAAAATAAAATTTTCTACAAAATTTGGGGTTTTTTAAAAGTCAAAAAAATTTTCCCAAAAAATAATAAAAAAAGCTTTCCCTTTTTTTCCCTAGTAGTAAGCCCAATTTGGGTTTTAAAATGAAAATTGCTGGGTTTCTTGAGGGTGACGGTAATGGAAGATGAAGTTGTAGGACCGTTACGGGAAATAGTCGGCCGCCACGTTTGATAGCAGGATTTGGCCATTGGTACCCCTTAGCTTTTTTTAAAACCCGGGGGCAGTGATCACAGACCTGTAAACAATCAAAAAAATTAACCTCATAAAAAACTTAAATCATGCTGTAAAAAATTGAGTTTGGGAAAAAAACACTTTTAAAAGAAAACCCTTCACTTGAAATTTTAAAGTAAATATCGTATTTTATTATATTTAAATGTAACCCAACGAATTTTCGCCAAATTAATTTTTTCCGTTTTTATTCGGGGAGGGGCCACAAAGCGCGAAAAAATTTTTTTTTCCCGCGAATAAGCCCGAAAACGATTTCGCAAAATAAATTGGAAAAAAGAAAATTTTTATTTTAAAAGGGGGGGGTTTTTTCTTTGGGCAAAGCTACTTGACGGATATTTTTCGATTTTAAGGGGGCCCCTGTTTGGGAAAAGTAATGTTTTGTTAAATATTGCCAAAAAGGGAAATTTTAAAAACACAAACAAAGAAACTACTTGGCTAAATTTTTATAAAAAATATCAAAAGAATTCTATTGTTAAATATTAAGCAATCAAAATAAACAAGTGCAAAATAATCTGCCCTTTTGTCCTCAGTCCAGTGGAACCTATGACCCTGTTTGGACGCTATAAATAAATGTTTGGGGAATAAATTCGTCTTACAAAAAAAGTGGGAAAAAAAAACTAATCGAGCATCACAAAAAAAGGCTAATTGTTTTTTTTTTGGGATTCCTATAAGATTAATTGTTTTAGTAATTTGTTAAGACAAAGGTGGTATAAAAACCTATGAGCACCACAAAAAGGGATTTGGGTGGTACAATAATTAACAAAACTGAAATACAAGAATGGTTTCATACTAGCATCGAATTTTTACCCTTTCCAAAACTTTAACAAGCCTGAATAGCTCAGTTGGTTATGATTGCGGACCCTCATTTCAACATAATTTTCTTCAAGCGTGGGTTCGATCCCCGATGGAGAAGGGGTATTTTTTTATGAAACGCTTAAATAACATGTTTTAGAAATGAAGACGACACGATGCCGTACATGTACATATATAGAGAAAATGTTTTTTGCTGGAATTGTGATCAACAATTCACTTACCAATACAATATAACAAGAATGACTTCAATTAAATTGAAGATTAAAGTCGACTTTAATGGATTTTTTACGGGGGCACAATCGGACTTTTCCAATCCGCGCGAATATTTTTTTTTTTCGAAAATCAAGAAAACGCGGTAAATTAATATTCGCGAAAATATGTCCGACCTCGGCAAAAACGCGAAAATTTGTATTCGCGAAATATAAATTGGGTTACAGTAATGTATCTTGTCTTGGTCCCTGCCCACTTCCATTGTAAATCTTATGTAAACCCTGCCTCTGGATATATTCAAATATGGACAATAAAAGTTTGATATTCCGGTACCATGCATTTGTTTAACTTACAAACCAAACCCATTCCTGGACATTGCTTTTTGGGCCTGTATACTCTAATCAAGATTTTTATTGTATTTGGGTTTATCTTGGGATCATAACCAAATTTCAAGTTGACTGGATCACCAGTTTTAAAATAGACCTGTATGATAATAATAAAATATTAGCCAACCTTTAAAGATAGACAAACTGTGCTTTAAAGGGGTGGGGAGGAGGTCTAAGAAATGGTAAAGTAACATTTTCATACCCTGAACAAGTTGAAGACAACAAAAGTGGGGCGTTTTTCTCTCATTAGGGTGACATAAATGTTTTGGACTGGTTCCGATGTAAGGTTTACCAGGTGGAAATCCTCGCACAAACCTGTAAACAAAATCAGAGAATCAGTCTAATGTCAATAGAATGAGACAACAACACTTTTGGGCCTTTAAAATACATAGAGGATATTGAATGAGTGTTTAAATTCAATAAATTTAATTTAATTTCACGAGTTGAATAAAAAAAAAATTGGCCCGAGGCCGCAAATATTTTTTTAAATTTAACAAATGCAAAAAAATTTTAGTAATGAAAAATTACATGTACACAAATTTAAAAATTCTATTTATCACATACCCAAAAAAAAAAACCCTTTAAAAATGAAATAAGAGCTTTTTCATTTACGCGCCCAAAAGGGATTTAAAGCTAAAAATTTAGCGCTCTTTAAAACTATGGTTTTTTTAAACAAAAAGTCGCCATCCAAAAAATTTAAAAAATTCCATTTTTTTTTTTTAAAAATAAAGTAAAAAAATTTAAAAATTAAAAGTAAAGTTTTAAACCCTGGAAAAGTCAAATCTCCCAGGCAAAGTTTTTCAATTTTTTTTTTATAAAGTCCAGTAATATAAGTCAAAAGTGTTAAAATTATTTTATTTTTTCCCGTTGACTTACGTTGTAACCTGACGTGATCGATCCATTTTTTCAAAAAAATGGTGGCGCCCATATAGACGTCATTTTAGGGTTCGTTCTCACAATTCAGCGTGAAATGTACTCGGTAATTTAAAAAAAATATATATATTATATATTTACTTCCTGATCAATAGTTAAATGTTCTCATTAAAATGAAAAATGACAACAAAAGTTGTGTTAAAAAGGCATTTTACTAACAAACCATTATTAAATTTTAAAATAATCAAAATCATTTGAAGTGAAAATATCAGTAAGCTTTATAAATAATTAAACATCAAAGATTTAATTAATTACCAATGATATGATGTCGTCAATTTATATTTTTAAGAGAAAAAGAACAGTGAAGTGATTTGATTAGATAGCTTTTCAATCAAGCGCGGTATGTGAATACCGCAACGCGTCGTAGGGCAACGGGAAACACTAGCTAGGAGACTATAAAAATGGTTCTATTCGCTATTTAAAATGTTTAATTTACAATAATTCTGTAGTTGTCTGAATTCTGTCCATAAGTGTGTACCACGTCTAATTCAGAAAAGTAAATAAATTGACGGATACAAAAATATGTTTACCCTTCTTATTTCGGGTGCCATTTCGTGCGCTAACGAGAGAACACAGACTCGCGTTCAAGGAAAATGTGCATTATAAGAATATAACACATTGCTTTCTAGCTTAAGCAATCACTTTAAAGTTCGTAAATACAGATTTAACCTTCCGTCTCACAATTCAACAAAATGTCCAGAAAAACCGGCAGTGATTTGAAATTATTAAGAGTAAGTTTGAGTTTGGCGACAATACGTGTTTTTTTTTTTTTGTAGACTCAAAGTGTTAACATATAATACTTTTGTTAATATGAAGGGTAGATCGAGTCAAAGAGAAAACAGCGAGTGACGTTCTCAAATAATTTTAGCCTTCCTAAAATTTGAAAAAATTCAGTGAAAAAAAAACAATAGATCTAGCATATTTTTTCGCGGGAGAAAAATACCGCGTATTGTTTATTTTTGTAGCTAAAACAAAAAGAGTAGGATTTTTCCAGAAGTCTTGAACAACGAGGTAATAATTTATGTAGGGAAATTATTTCTGAGAAATATATAAAATAGTTTAAAATATAAAATCAAAACGAATATTATATGTAATTAATGGAAGAAAGTATTGCACTGTTGTAGATTCATGTCATTAAGTTTGTTTTAAATTATTTTTAAATAGTATCAAAGTTTTTTTTATATTATTAATTATGAATTGAAGCGAAAGTGTAATTTTTACAGAATAATTTTAAGTTTAAGTTGCCAAAATCTGGGGTATACAAAAAATTATTTCAAAATGTCATCAAGGCAAGTTTATCTCAACGCTTAAATTATCTGTTTGAGGTTACATATGCCTAACCGCCCTCTTGTCAATTGCCGCAACTGGAATCATCCATATATAAAGCGCGAGGCATTTTTGTTACGTCATATATTTCGTAAATTGTTGTTGACGTAATAAAGTTTTTTCGTCAGGAATCCATAAAACATTGTGATGTTGACAACTAAAATTGATGGGCCGTTCTTGAATTATGGATTTGGAACATGCTGAATTATGATAGTGTTTCATTTACATATTTCATTTGCTAACCCAGATAAATCCACAATTGAATGTTTTAATAATGAGACGGATTATCAGTTTTAAAAAATCTGGATCATCAAAAAAGTGTAGGAGTCACTAGGAGTCATGACTCAATGTCATTCAGGATTTTTGAAGAGCTACGGAACTGGGATAGAAACTGGCAATGAAGGAATCTTCAGAATGCGAAATTTGTCGTGACGTTTATATGTTCATAGGATTCTATTCAGTTTAAAAAGTAAGTGCAATTTCTAGATCTACTCCATGTGACTCGGTGTTCTTGTTGCTTATTTTTCATTTTTTAAAGTTTTCCATCATGCATTGCAACTAAACTTTGACATCTTGTAGATCCAGGCTTTGTAAAATAATCATGAAACCACCCCGAGAACCTCATGTATTATTTTAGAAACATTACACGTGCTTTCTTCCCGTTCATCTTCAAATGAAGAGTACTTCGGCAATGGCTACGGAAAATAAACAACAGAGATTTGCCATAGAGAAATCAAAATTTGCTTTCACAAGAAAAGTAGACACTTAAGAGTAAAATCCTGAAATATCTCGAGGGTGACTTTTTTTTAGTTTACAAAAAAGTTTTATATTTTATTCAACGTCATTTTGTTAATTCATACCAGGCAAAAGTTCATTTCCATTCTTAATGGGACAGACTATAATGACGTCACGTCAAAATATATGCACAGCCGTGCAATACCATATTTACGGAGTCGCAAAATCGGCACGGTTGTGTGATTAATTTAGATATTCAGTGTGGTAAAGTTTAAAACACAAATTACTCCTAACTTTCATATATTGATTACAAATCAACAACTCTTTTACTATATTGGTTTGTATCTGACAATGAGAAACAGCTTTACACTTTAAGCTCAGAGTATCAATAATTTGCCATGAATCTATGAATCAGAAACTGTTTTAAAATAAGGATATTAGCCAATCAGAAACTGTTTTACAATTTGCGCTCTGTATTAGCTAATCATAAAATGCTGCCCATCAGAAATAGAGGATATTGAATGAGTGTAGGTTTAATACTAAATTTATTGAACGAGTTGAATAAAATCATATTATGCAAGCCTCTGGCGAGCATAATATTGTTTTATTCAACAAGTTCAATAAATTTAGTATTGAATCAATACGAATATAATATTCTATTTATCACATATATAGAATAAGAATTTTAAACTGTTAACAAGAGTCACTTTTATTTGACATGCCAATAGTGGTAACGCTAACATTAGCGCGCTTTAACGCTATGTTTATAGCGCAAATGACGTGACGTCAAAGTGTTATTACACTAGTGATATATCGTCTAGTGTAATATCGTTTTTATTAAATGGCTTTATTACACTCCTTTATGTGATAAACTGTTTTACAATTTGTGGTCTGAATTAGCAAATCATAAACTGTTGCCAATCAGAAACTGTTTTACATACTGTGCTCTGAATTAGCCAATCATAAACTGTTGCCAATCAGAAATAGCTTTACACTCTGTGCTCTGTATTGGCCAATCATAAACTATTGCCAATCAGAAACAGTTTTACACTCTGTGCTCTGTATTAGCCAATCATAAACTGTTGCTAATCAGAAACAGTTTTACATTCTGTGCTCTGTATTAGCCAATCAGAAACTGTTGCTAATCAGAAATAGCTTTACATAATGTGCTTTGTATTTGCCAATCATAAACTATTGCCAATCATAAAGAGATTTACATTCTGTGCTTTGCATTAGCCAATCAGAAACTGTTGCCAATCAGAAACAGTTTTACATTCTGTGCTCTGCATTAGCCAATCAGAAACTGTTTCCAATCAGAAACAGTTTTACATACTGTGCTCTGTATTAGCCAATCAGAAACTGTTTTACACTTACTCAGGATTATCCTCCTCATCAGCGTAAGGAAAACTGTCCTCTGACATGGTCTCCTCCTCAACTTGTATTGTTATATCTGAAGCCTCAAGGAAGGCAGGTACAGGCGCAATACTCGGCCTCTTCTGCAAGTTTGCAGCTGTAAGCCCTGAAGGAATCTCTAACTTTGTCCGCCGACTACCGGATCTTTTAATCTCTGGAGGAGCGTTGATTAGACGAGTGTGTTGTAACTCTAAAGCCATCGTCCCTTTAAATAAACATTATTTTATTTAATAAACCAATTAAAAAAATAATTATCATGTTGATATCTTCAAAGATATACCACATTCAATTTGATGTTGATATCTACATGAACTGAAAGAGTATCAGAATCTTACACTTCAATTCAGCATTCTTTCGGTAAAACAATATTCGTTATCATTCATTCCAAAAAGAAATGAAAGAATGACTAACTTAAGAGGTCTGAACTATAACTACAAAAGTATTTAAACAAGGTCCATGTAGAATGCAGATCAATAAATAATTCTTAATAAAATCTCTGAAAACTGGAATCTTTTGAAAAAAAGTCTGAGCAGGGTCTGGTTTTTAGAGTTTTCACTATACAATGATAATTATGTAAGTTTCTTTAGAATATAATTCAAATGAAATTAATTAATCAATTCTTGGATAGAAAAAAATAAATGTACTGTATGGGATTTTAAATTAATATTTTCTAAAATTCATTGTTGTTGTTTCATTTCATAATCTTACAACCAACAACTGTCAATAAATTATCTTTTGTTGAATTTAATAGTTATTGTCTCTAATGACATATACAAAGTACTAAGCCTACAAAGAGGGATTCCAATTATTTCAGGGGAGATAAATAATGTGGTAAAATAGAACAGTTAATAGACTAAAGATCTAAAAAATCTGATTGGTTTTAAACATTCAGATCAACTTTCCTATGTAAATTATCTTCTGTTATTTTTAACTGTCAAGTACTTATCTTCAATCTTAAATTACAGATTATATTATGCCTATTAAGCAAAATATTTGGACATATCCAGATAGCTGATTCACCTTTCCTGAGTTTCTCTAACTTTCCTGAACAACTAACACTATTAATCCCACATACCAATTGCTAATCCCACACACGACTACCACTACTAATCCCACATACCGACTACCACTACTAATCCAACATACCGACTACCACTACTAATACCACATACTGACTACTAATCCCACATACTGACTACTAATACCATACTGACATACTGACTACTAATACCACATACTGACTACTAATCCCACATACTGACTACCACTACTTATACCACATACTGACTACCACTACTACTGACTACCCACATACTGACTACTAATCCCACATACTGACTACTAATCCCACATACAAACTACTTATCCCACATACCAATTGCTAATCCCACATACTGACTACCACTACTAATCCCACATACTGACTACTAATCCCACATACTGACTATACAGACTACTAATGCCACATACTGACCACTAATCCCACATACTGACTATACAGACTACTAATCCCACATACTGACTACTAATCCCACATACTGACTACTAATCCCACATACTGACTACTAATCCCACATACTGACTACTAATCCCACATACTGACTACTAATCCCACATACTGACTACTGATCCCCACATACTGACTACTATCACCACATACTGACTACTATCACCACATACTGACTACTATCACCACATACTGACTACTTTCACCACATAGTGACTACTTGTCACAGATGATTTTCTGGATCAGAGGTGAGAGACTAATTATCATTAAACTCAATATCCTGGATCAGTTGTCACAAGGAAATTTCCCCTTATGCAGGGATCAAACGGATGACCCCCAAACTACTAATCTAATGCTTTCCTGGCGGAAATATTTTTCAATTACAGAACAACAACAGTGAGCTAAAAGTGAAAATTGTGCTGTGTACATTTACCAATTTTATTTTTCAATCTACAAACTCAAAATACAAAAGCACAGACAATACAAATTTAATGAAAAAAATAACCCAGAGAAACATTAAGTTATGGTTCTAAACAAAATATGGGCCACAAAAAAGTCATAAGATGGTGAAAGGAATGTGTTTTTCTGGTGAAGTGGTGAAAATTAAGGACGCCATCTAGAACAGTAACAAACCATTTGTCGATTCAGGTTTAGGTTGGCACTCTGGTTTAGGGACACACATTTCCAATATATTCTCATTTGCTGTTTATTAAAGGGAAACAATAAGTTATTTAATAAACAGAGACATTTCAGAGTCTTAATTAAGGGAAAAAGGGAGACAATTCAGACATTAACTTAATGGAAACAATTCAGTTATTAAATAAAGGGAGACAATTCAGATATAAAATAAATAGAGACATTTCAGGTATTATATAAACTTAAAGGAATAGTACTATTCAGACAATAAAGGGAGACAATTCAGATAATTCATCAAGGGAAACCAGTGATTTTTCTCACTAAATTGGGAAGAGGCCTTAGCCTTTTGATTTTGGGAAAACTTGTCGCTAAAATTGCTGATTTGGGAAGTAAAAAAGCTGGTTTAAGTTGAGATTTTTGGGAAAACTACATGATTTTAAAGAAAATTTCAATTGGGAAGAGGCCTTTTTTCGGAGTCTGTTATATAAGTAGGAAAATCACTGGAAACAATTCACATATTTCATAAAGGGAAACAATTCAGCCAAGTGAAATGTTGAGTGCCAAATATATTTGGATACACAAAGTTTCTAGAAGACTGAAATAAATAGAGGATATTGAACAGTGTAGGTTTAATTTTATTGAACTAGTTGAAAAAATCTATAGTATGTGAGCTTCTGGGGAGTTCAATAAATCTTTAGTAATGAAACTACAAGAATATAATATTCTATTTAACACATAATCAAAATAAGAACTATCTACAGTAAAAAGAATCACTTATTCATTGACAAGCTTTTTATGTAAGGCTAAAATTTCGTGAGTCTTTATGCTATATGTGTTTACCGCAAATAATGTGGCAAAAGAGGCACATGTATGTGATGAAAATTGTTTAGTAAAAGGAGGCATAATACCTATTAAGCTTTTTAGGGAAAGAGAAATTGCAACCTATTTTCTGTAGCGAAAGACCCTCGATATTGCCCCAGTCCCCAATATTTACACATAAAGATCTCGTAGCAAAACTATATGAGTAACTTTTAAGTATAAATGACCACTCATGTAATGCCCTATATGTATGTAGGATATCAATATCAATTTCTAATTTTTTATAGGGATCAATACATTAACATACCAACACTTGCTATCACACTGGCAACTTTTGACGTATGTTCTCCGCCCTGCATCAATTTCCTGTCTGGTTTTGAATCCTCCTGGTTCGGATGAGCTAAAATGAAGGCAGAGTTCTCTTCCTTGGTTATGTTCATATAGAAACAAATGTCCGACTCCTTCATGATGTGACGCGGCCCAGGATTGAGCTGTATTGTAGATACGCCACTGTTCTGCTGTACACCAACAAGACTTACACCATATCTGTATAGAAGAGATGGTGTAAAAAACTCTATGTTCAGAAACATCATTTGATATAGTGTGTTATTTACAGAACAGAATAACAATTATATGTTGTATTTGTATATGTAATATGGTGATGAGCTTTTTATGCTTTAACCAAGAAATTTCTCTTCAGTTCTGTTATTATCTGACATTCATTCATTTTGTCAGACTTAAAAGTCTCTTACAATATTGGCATCTACTGGAAAACAGGGCATGTTTTAAGTTTATTTCCATAATTATTTACAATAAAACTTTGATAAGTCTAAGTAAGACTTACGCAAAACCTTTAAGACATTGGGACCTTGACTCATGTATTGATATAGAATGTATTAGAGAAAAAAATCAGGACTTTGGTTTTACTTCATAAGAAATCAACTAATCGAAGCTGAACAAATTGAAGCTCAGCTATAGTTTGTTATAAATTTATCCCTATTAAACAATAAACTGATCATCTTACTTTCTATGAGCATGAAACGAAGCATATGTGAAGCTTTTTCCTTTGTATTCCCCGAAGAATTTGCTTTCTCCGAGACGTATATGATATATCTCGTTACCAGAACATCTTCCATACAATCTCTGCCACTCCTCAGATGACCCCTGTCCTTCCCTGCAAATTATACACATACATTGTTATAATGACCCCTGTCCTTCCCTGCTAATTATACACATACAGTCTTAAAGTACCCCTGTCCTTCCCTGCAAATTATACACATACATTCTTAAATAACCCCTGTCCTTCCCTGCAAATTATACACATACAGTCTTAAAGTACCCCTGTCCTTTCCTGCAAATTATACACATACAGTCTTAAAGTACCCCTGTCCTTCCCTGCAAATTATACACATACAGTCTTAAAGTACCCCTGTCCTTCCCTGCAAATTATACACATACAGTCTTAAAGTACCCCTGTCCTTCCCTGCAAATTATAAACACACACACTGTTATAATGTATGTTTGTAACATTGGATTTTGTTTAACAAACTTAGTGTTTATTTTATTTATAGACAAAGCATATGGAAATTAAAGGAGTTGATATTTTAAGTATTACAGCTGGGCGACCTTTTCACAGAAAATGTGTTGAGGGCAAACCTTTTACCCGTTGATGTAAAGTGCGTTAACTTGAGATTGAGGCTGTAAGTTACCTGTACTCCATTTACAGCACTAATTGTTGAGGGTATAAAAAGGAAGCAAGCTCAAACCTGAGAATTCTACAAATAATGTTTCACTGAAATTTGTAGTAGATTTTTTTTTTCAAATCCAGAAGAATTTTGGAAAAATATAAATTTTCTCTGCTAATCAATTAAAAAAATCAGTTTTTTTTTAAAATTTACAGTGTTCTTACTTTAATGTGGATATGATAGAATAAAAATTAATGTGAACATGATAGAATAAACCGTGTCATTTACTTACTGTCCACGTGACGTATGTAACAACAACGTAACCAGCGTTGATGTGGCAGGACACAAACAATTATTGGCAAGAAGGGCGTACTTAAACTCATCCACACAGACCACATGTTCTGAAAAAAATATAAACACATCGTTAACCCTTAGATCATGCTTCCTGATAATGGTCTGCACTGCGGCACTGTTTGCTACACAGTCAATTCATTTTTTCAAAACTTTCCCTAAAAATGATGAATGATTTTGCTTAGATTAAAAGATAGACAAGTCAATTCAAGATATTTAGCATGGTATGGCTTTAGAAATACATGTACTAGCCTTCTAAGAAAAAATTTCAATGACCACCCTGATAAGACATTATTAGGTATGTCATAAATAATGAAAATTAATACAGCAGCATAATATAAATAAAATTTCAATTTCATGAATTATCAATCCATCATAATAGAAGATTTACCTGCAAATTTAACATGAAACTTGTTTTCAGGCCGAAATATTTGAACATACTGCGGACACTCTGGAGCAAAATCTTTAATTGCCCAAGATCTCATTATTGTATGTTGATCCTGTAAAAATATAATATATAAATACATATTGTATGCATTTTTAACCTGAATACTGTAAAATCATTATTATTCGTGGGGCACAAATTTCGTGGATTTCGTGAGTAGTTCAATCCACGAATTTAAGATCCGACAAAATTTTATCCCAACAAATACTTTTTGCCATGTCTCTATTCTATATATTACAAACATGCACCGGCGCTTTTCCGCTGAATTTTGTGTAATGAATGCCCAGAGGCAAGGACTAAATTTATTGACAAGCGCTGTGTGATACGTAAAGATATGTACATGCGGTAAGTAAAATGTGTGGTGATTAAGTGTAAGCTTACTTTACTTTGCATTAGGTTATTTATTTTATTTTTTTTTACAAGAAATTGAAATTCCATGAATTTAAGAACCCACGAAAATGCCCGTTTTGATAAAACTGCAAAATTTCATGCCCACAAATATAAGTGAATTCGCAGTATACATTTTTTAGTTGAGTTTTTACGTCACACAAATACAGTAGAGGTCATATGGCAACTTTATAGCTTTACTACTGAACGAAGACCTCAGGTGCCCCTCCTTGCATTATTTCAGGCACCAAGGGGCACCCCAAGTTAAAACACCGACATTCTATAAGCTAGCTGGATAGCTTCCTCTCATAAAAAGATTCTAAAGTGGGATGTGAAACCTAATATAGTCTAACCTCTCTATGTTATCAACTTCAGATTTACAAAATAAAGTTGCTATATACAGAGGGTTTTTATATAGAGAGTGAAGTAGTAACATTTAAAATTTCAGACAATCACACATAATATATAAATCAGTCAAAATTAGGATGAATTTCTTACAGCAGCTTCCTTGTTTTCCACATTTTGGGTTGAAAGAATAAAACAGGCCTCGGCATCTTGAACCCTGCATCTGGCAAGATCTGTATCTTTAAGGGCTGAGCCCTGAATGAAAATCACTCTCTGGGCCCACATCGGCACTTGTAGCAAGACTTTCATGGTAGGGTCGAGCTCACATGGTGACAGCAAAACAACAAAATAATCCTGAAATAAAAACACCAAAAAACGATCACATTTTGGTAATTTAAAACTCATTTCTAAATTAACAGTTAATTAAACAGCTTCAAAACATTCTGAAAATTTCATCAGGGCATATGTGTCTATTAAACTATCAGTGGGCTGGGGGAAAAAAACTTAGCATATCACTTTTAGACGCATATTCTGTCAAACGTAACTTTCCCATTGAGACATCAGGTCATTTACTTTTAAAGTTTATTCTGGATAATGAGAAGCATTACACTTCCCCAGTATTCCCAAAAGTATGCAGTTAATGCCAGACTACAGCTACTATAAATTAAAACATTTATGCTACCTTGATGCTCCAGAGACAGAGAAAGAGATTTACATTACCTACAATGGTTTGACATTAGATAACGCCCCTGCAAACTGTCAGCTAATTTACTTAACAGCGAATGTTTATGATGAAATAAAAAACTACTGCAGATCTTGCACAATGATGCACAAACAGGCGAGATTCTAGAAATATCTCCCATCAATTCTAATTAGACATAGTGATATCAAAACACCAGGGACCTCCCTATCTATCAAGTGCCTTTTAATCTAATGATGTACAACTTCCCCCGTACACCCTTCAGGTCTGTCTACAGCCTACATTATAAAGTTATTTCAACATTTTAATCAGGGAATTATTAAAGGCGGCATTATCATTGTTTTAAAATGGTGGGGAAATATTAATGAAATGAAAAGGTACAAAAACAGCAGACCAGGACTATGTCTGAGTAAAGAACAGACTTTGCCCTTTTGAAGCAGTAGACATAATGTCAAACTTTGAAGTGGCACTTCACTGCAGTCCAAGAATTTTGGGTCAAAAATAAAAAAGGCCGTTCAGGTTAATGTTTGGTGATTTCTACTTCCCTAAACAGCCTTAGATTGTTTAACTTTTTAGTGTAAAGTAAAATCATGAATTATGTCTTATACAATTGTTTTGTAGATCAAAGATAAATAAGTTGTTCTATTTGAAAGCTCATTCAATTTTCAGAAAATAAGGTAATTGGCTGCTGATTTTTTACAGACCAGTCAGGCTAGTGAC